ATATATATATATATATATATATGGATCTTTGGTTGTTCGGGTTTTCTCCCGCGTAAGATTCGAAGTATCTAGGCAACGTTTCAATGAAGTCTCATTCATCATCATATATATATATGATACATCATCATATATAATTTTTCCTATAATAAGTTGCATGGAGAGCTTATATTTCTCCTAGTTATAATTTCAGCTCGGCATTTTTCCTAAATTCTAATCTTTTGCTTTACAAATTAATATTCATCTCCCAACTCGGGCTATTGATGCTGGAGTTAGCTTTTCCCATTTATTAGGGACTAGTTGCAATCACACTTTTGGTTTTGGTGGTAGTCGTGTTGCTATTTCAAGGTTCCTAAATTGTTCATGTGTTCTTAGGCCACTTTGGTCCCATTAAAAGTTTGATATAAAGTTCCTCACTCAATGTAATTTCTGAACTCCCACCATCCAAACATTCAGTATTTACATTAGTCTCAAGACAATTATAAGACCAGTACATAGGTAAATTTAACAGTGGAATTTGTTCTGTGGTTGTTATTTTATGTTGGGGAAATAACATCGGCAACCACTCAGTCCTAAATAGAAAAGGAATGTACAGTTTCTTCCTTCCAGGATTTTATCAAAATCCACTGGTTTAAATTTGTGTACAACAAAGTTCAAGGGGGTGTTTGTGCAAGGACCCCTTTCTGTCTTAAAAGAGAGACAGGGACAATTCAAGAATATATTTTCTCACAATTTTGTCTGTTAACTCAGTTCTAGGCAAATCCTCCTTTCCATAGCACGGGATCCCCAACAACATCTCATCTCTCCTTCCACTACTTTGGCACTTCCATCTATAAAGTAGTGCTACACAACCTTGTTGGTCTCCTTCGCTTATTCCCTCTCTCATCAAGAATTGAGCAAGGTTCGACAGCAAGATGTAGTACACTAAAAGAGAATAATTATATCAAACTTAAGCAGCAGATAGCGCTAGATTTGGCGAAATGGGAAAATTTACAACTGTCATTAATAGGGAGAATATCAACAATCAAGATGAATACACTACCGAGAATTTTTTGTTTGTTCCAAACAATTCCAGTTAGGCTTGGAAAAGATTATTTTGAAGATTTAAATAAAACTGTGTTGAAATATATATGGCAAGGTAAGAAAGCGAGAATAAAGTTAAAACTTTTGCAAGATGCCAGAATAAGAGGAGGATTTGGTTTGCCTAATTGGGAGTTGTATTACCAAGCTACAAATTTGATGTGGGTTAAGGAATGGATAACATTAAGAAATACTAGATTGTTGACATTAGAAGGACATGATCTTTGTTTGGATGGCATGCTTTTCTATGGTATAAAGGAACTAAAACACAGGGGTATTTTAGAAGACATTATATACGGGAGTCTCTGTGGTTAAACTGGGAGAAGACTAAAAGGCAATGTTATTTGAAAATTCCAGTCTGGCTATAGACTATTGAAGCATTTTCTTATCCTATAATATATAAAAAGGAACAAACAGATAGATGTGGTGAAATATTGAATGAAAAGGGTGAACTTAAATCTATGCAAAAATTAGAGGAACAAGGTATAAAGATGAATTGGTTTTCATATGCGCATATACATTCAAGGTATGACAGATTCTAAAACAGAAGGTTTCTATGATAAACTGACTGATTTAGATAAGATTTTGACAGGTACTGATGAAAAGATGATTAAAAAATTGTATGGGTATTTATTAGAAATTAAACTAGAAGAACAGGTTAAAGAAATTATGATTGCTTGGGGGAAGAATTTTGGATATGGGATTGATCTAGAGAAATGGCAAAAATTGTGGTCTCAATGTCAACAGCATATAAAGAAAATTTGTATAAGATGTTTTACAGGTGGCATTTTCCCCCGACAAGAATAGCAAGAATGTTCAAGAACGAATCTGAAAAATGTTTGAAATATCATCAGATACCTGGCTCATATTACCATATGTGGTGGACTTGTGCGAATGCCAAAAAATATTGGACTAAAATCCACACGTGGTTGGAAAAAATGACAAAAAAGCATATAGGCTTGAAACCAGAGATATTTTTATTGGGAATTTTACCTGAAATATATAGTAAAGAATTGAAATACCTGATTGTAAGTGTATTTTACAAATACATTGTAAATGTATTTTATTTCTTTGTTCAGCAGAGTAATACTGTCATGAAACTGTAGGTGTTTTCATGTCAGGATTTTATTTTTAACCAACTGTTTAAAAAGAAAGTACTTTTGGGGTAGATGATCCAAATAGCATCATTATATATCATTTTTAACCAGTTATATCTTTTCCTATTTCTGCTCCTGTCACTTTTACCATACACTCATATATGTTTAGGGGTTCTACTCCATTGAATAAACACATAGTTGTTAGAAATAGGAGTGAAGCAATAAACCATTGAAGGTAATATGGTACCCAAAAGTAGTAAAAGTTTATTAACATATTTGCAAATACGGGTGCACACAAGATAGATCTAGATCAAAGCATGTAAAAAGTTTTTATATCCTGTCTCCCTACCAAGCTCACAATCTATCTGTTGCATCTATTAACAATATTCCCCCCAAACCCACCATGACATGGTGTAATTATGCATAAATCCTAACTTTCCCTTGCTGTTTTGCATAATTGGTTATATTTTGAAATGTGTCAGAAAGTGCCCCCTTTCTTTCTAGACCAGTGGTTCCCAAAGTGGGCGGTACCGCCCCCTGGGGGGGGTGGGATGCCTTAGGGGGGCGCTGAGAGGCAAGGGGGCTGGCAGGGGGGCGCTAAGAGGCGGCGGCGGGGCGCTGGAGGTGAGCAGCAGGGCACAATTCAGGGGTGAGAAAAAATCCCGCCGCCATCGCATTCGAGGCAAGGCCCTGCAGGATCACACGCTGGTGCAAGGAGCTCAATGGGGTGATCCTGCAGGGCCTTGCTTTGCTCTCCTTTTCAAACATCCCACCACCATCGTGTTTGGGTTGGCAGGGTCTCGCCCTGAACGCAGCATTGGGAAAGGAGAGCAAAGC